CGCAGGACTTCAACGCCACGGGTCAAACTTGACTGTTGCGTCTTGACGATCCTGGGATGTGCCAGAACGCCATTCCTGGGATTTCAGCACCGCGAGTCAACGTAACTGTTGCGTCCTTATAATCTTGAACCGTTTCAGGACGCTATTTCTGGAATGTTAGCCATGAGTGGCAGTGAATTCGTTCGATTTCTTCAGGCGAATGTGCGCGGCGCTTAGGCGAGAAGAACGTTTCGAAAACGAACCGCCCTCAATTCGTGAAACTGTTGCAGTAGCGACGTGCGTGGCGCTCGGGCGAGAGTCACACCTTGAAAGCGACCTGTCCTCAATCCGTGAAGCCCCAGCGATCTTTTACAACGAGTGTGCGCGGCACTAGGGCAAGAGCCACATCTTGAGAACGACCCGCCAGACTGCGAAACTCTTGGGGCATTTTTTGGAAACGAATGTGCGCGGTGCTCTGCCCCCGGCTCCTGTCCAATGTGTACCTTTTCCTGTGCAAGCTCCTCTGCACCGCCTGCACCCCGCGCCCTCCGGCCGCCTGAGGCCCCGCCCGCCCGCGCCCTGTCTCCCCAATTCGTGCTTTGCGCGGCCCGCCTAGCTCTTAACCGGAAGAGGCTCGCTCTCGACCCGCAGACCAAAAAATGTGCGCGGTGCTCCGGCGAGGACCACATTTTGGAAGCGGCCCGCCCCCCCCATCTGCGAAGCAGCTGCTTCTTGTGAAGCCTCAGGCCCATCCGTGCTGAGGAAGCCTTTGGGCGAGACGCCTGGCCCGCCCTTCCGTCTGGCCTCGGGTTGCGCCAAGGAGGAGTTAGCCAGTGGCGCTGCCGCCCAATGCCGCCACCGCGCTCGGGCGGGCGCCCAACGTGGGCGGGAGGGCGGGCGCCGGGGGGGGGGGGTTGATCCCCGGAATGCCCCCCCCCCCCCCGAATGTCGCATTTGGTCACGCTCTCAGCCTGGAGGATTAAATGACGCAGGGACCTGGCAATACAAATGAGCGCATCTTGGGATCGGTGCGTCGGGGGGCCAAGACTATTGTGTCTCGCAGGGAGCGAGTGGTAAGGAGGTCTCAGGCGAAACGCCCGACCCGCCCTTCCAAGCTTCGGTTTGCGACAGGGAGGAGTTACTCATTAGGAACAGGATGAGGACGAGGAGGAGGATGATGAGGAGGAGGAGGAACGTGGCTTGGCCGCCCACTTGGGGTTTGGGGCGGTTTGCAGCCTCCTGTGTATGCCCAGTCTGCGCGATGCGTTTGCAGACGCTGTGACAGCGGCGAGTCTTTGAGCCTGTTTCCGGCATACCCCGATGTGCTTCACGCTCTGAGGGTGCTCCTGCCGTCCGCAGCTTTCCCCCCCTTCCCTCCCGCCCTCCTGTTCTCGTGCGCGTAGTTCTCTTCCTCCGCGACCCGCCGTTAACCGACCGCCTGCTGGACGCCTGCGCCTCGTCCTCCTCCTCCTCCTTCTCCTCCTCCCTCTCCTCTTCCTCCTCCTCCTCCTCCTCCTCCTCCTCCTCCTCCTCCTCCTCCTCCTCCTCCTCCCCGCCGCTGATCGCAAGAGTGCCCTTACTGTAGGCCCCGGCGAGCGCACCCCTTCCATCCCGGGGCTGGCCACCGCTTCGCGGGGAGCCGGCCCCAGGGTCGGGGAGGTGCGCAGGCTGGGCTCCCGGAGAACTTGCGGGGGTTCGCGCGATCGCCGCAGCCGGAGCTGCAGGGGGAGGAAGAGGTTGGCCGGAGAAGGAGGTGCGGAGGGGAAGGGGAGGAGGAGGGAGACGGACGAGGGGGAGGGAGGAGCCGCCAAGGAGGGGGAAGAGGGGGACGTAGGTGGGTGTATTGGTGGTATGGTGGCTTCTACGGGCTTCTGCAGGGCTCCCGGGGGAACTCGCGGGGCCCGTGGGAGCAGTTGGATGAGCAGGAAGAGTCGACGACATCTCCCGCGCCTTTGCGCAGCGTGCGCGTGCGTCTTTGCGCACGTCGGCACCGACCATCTAGCGCCCACGCGCGGCCGTCCACGTGGCTGCGAGCGCCCGTGGGCCAGGCAGGCTCAGGCGTTTCAGCTCGGGCCATCGAAAGGTGGCGTTTGAGCTTGGGCAGGAAGAGGAGGTGCCCCACAGCAGGCGCACCCAGGAGAGGGGGTTTGGGCGCACACCGCGGCTGGGACCGTGGCCCCTGCGACGGCATGCTGGGGGTACGCCGCCCCATGGGGCTCCTTTCTCTCTCGGGCCTTCCTGATCATCGGGTCGGGTGAAAGGAGGGGCTCGGGAAAGAGGTGGGGGTACGACAGTTGCTGCATGCAGCTGGTGTCGGCCCCGCCGCCAAGCGCTTTCCTCGGTGACATGGGCGCCTGCTCGCGCTGGGGGCTCTGGGAAAACCAGTTGCGTGGGCTGAGCCGCCGAGCCCTGGAACTTTTGTGGATCGTCTTCGCCGTTCTACGTTCCGGAACTCCTGGAAGTCCTACGTTCTACGTTCTACGTCTTGGAACACCGCCCTCTCCTAAACTCTGGAACTTTTGATGATGATGAGGCTGATGCTGATGATGATGCTGATGATGCTGCTGCTGATGATGCTGATGATGATGCTGATGATGATGCTGATGCTGATGCTGCTGATGATGCTGCTGCTGATGATGATGTGATGCTGATGCTGCTGATGACGATGATGCTGATGCTGATGCTGATGCCGATGAAGATGATGATGCTGATGCTGCTGATGACGATGATGCTGATGATGCTGATGCTGATGCTGACGCTGGTGCTGATGATGATGATGCTGATGATGATGCTGCTGCTGATGATGATGATGCTGATTGATGGTGATGATGATGCTGATGATGATGATGATGCTGCTGCTGATGATGAAGATGCTGATGACGATTATGATGATGATGATGATGATGATGATGATGCTGATGATGATGCTGATGAATGTGGAGATGATGATGATGATGATGATGATGATGATGATGATGATGATGATAGATGATGATGATGATGCTGCTGATATGATGATGATGATCTGATGCTGATGCTGATGCTGATGCTGATGCCTGATGCTGAGATGATGAGCTGCTGATGATGATGAATGAGGATGAGGAGATGATATGATGATGATGATGATTAGCTGATGATGATGATGATAGATGAATTGATGATGATGATGAGATGATGATGATGAGATGATGATGATGATGAGATGATGATGAAGACGATGATGAGATGATGATGATGATGAAGATGAGATGATATGATGAGTAAGATGATGATGATGATGATGATGATGATGATGATGATGATGATGATGATGATGATGATGATGATGATGATGATGATGATGATGATGATGATGATTATGATGATGATGATGATGATGATGATGGTGATGATGATGATGATGATGATGTTGTTGTTGTTGATGATGATGATGAGATGATGAGATGATGATGATGATGATGTTGATGCTGCTGCTGCTAGCTCTGCTGATGATATAGATGATATAGATGGCAGATAGGGATGGTGATGTGATGGTGCTCGGTGATGGTGATGTGATGTGATAGTGATGGTGAAGATGATATTGAGATGCTGATGATGCATGAGATGAATGATGATTGATGATGATGATGATGAAATGAATGAAGAAGAAGATGATGATGTATGATGATGATGATGATGATGATGGCAGCTGCTGCTGCTGCTGCTGATGATGATGATGATGATATGGATGATGAATGAGATTGATGATGTGAGGATGAGGAGGAGGAGGAGGAGGAGGAAGGAGAGGAGGAGCGAGGAGCGAGAAGCGAGGAGCGAGGAGCGAGGAGAGGAGGAAGAGGAGGAGAGATGAGGGAGGAGGAGAGAGAGGAGGAGGAGGAGGAGGAGGAGAGCGCGTGTCGCTCCCGCTCCGCCCGTCCTGACCCACCTTCGCCTCGTTGCGGCACGCTGCCCGCTTCCCGGCCCCCGGGCGCCTTCGCGCCGAGCTGCTCCCCAGCCTCCCTTCTCCGCGGAGAGCGGGGCGTGCACGGCGTGTCGCCGGCACGGCGTGTCGCCGATGCCGCCGTGGGCGACACCCAGGCACAAAGCTCTCCTCCGCCTCCGCTCCTCCGCCCTCCTCCTCTCCTCCGCCCTCCTCCTCGCGGCCGCCCTCCTCCGCCCTCCGCCTCCTCGCCTCCTCCGCCCCTACCTCCGCCTCCTCCTCCTCCGCCTCCTCCCATCCTCCGCCTCCCTCCTCCGCCTCCTCCTATCCGCCCTCAGCCTCCTCCGACTCCTCCGCCCTCCTCCGCCCTCCTCCGCCTCCTCCTCCTCCTCCGCCTCCTCCTCCTCCTCCTCCTCCTCCTCCTCCTCCTCCTCCTGCTCGTCCGACCCGGGAGCAGCAGCCTCGGCGGGAGGAGGAGGACCCAGGCCCCCGACGCTGGGGCTCTTTCGCGCGGGCCCTCAAGGAGGCCCGTGCCCCTTGCCCTGGGGGACCCGCGCTGCTCTTGTTGCGGGCCAGGTCGCCCTCCGATGGCCCCTCGGCCCAGCAAAGGGCCCCCCCCGGCGACCGAACACTTGTCAACGAAGAGACCTCCGTCGCGAGTTACGATAGGACAGCCTTCCGATTTTGTCACGGCGCGAGGGGGTCTGGGCTGGACGGCCTCCTGGTCAGAGCTCGGGCCTCCAGGTGGCCGTTCGGAACGATCCTGGCAGCGGCATTCCTGGACGCCTCTCGACGAGGCGCAGCTGACGGGAAGCACCCGCGGGCCCGAAAACTTCCAAAGCAGAGATACAGCATCCTAATGAGAGCCTCAGGAGGGACAAAAACACACAGACACAATTAGTCGTCGATTCCCCCGAAAATATAGGAAAGTATGGGAAGTGGGGGGGGGAGAGAAGACCCCCAAAAACATGGGAAAATCAGGGGAATCCTTTCAGCTGTGTGTCTTTCTTTGTGTGCCCCAGGGGCCCTGCAGAGCCTTCCGTCGTGACTCCCGCCGCGCCGCGAGGGGCCTTTGGGCAGGAGGAGGGCGCGCCGGGGCGAGGACGGCGGCGACGCGGCCAGCAGCGAGGACCGGCGGGCGCGGCCGAAGAGACGCCCGCGTTGCCTTCCTCTCGGGGTCGTCTCGGAGAGCGGGGGTGAGGACCAGGGGTTGTGTTATGTGGGGCGTGTGCCCCTACAGGGGGATTTTCGACGAATAATTTTAAAAATACCTCAAAAGTGCCCCAAGAAGGTCAAAACATACTCAAAACATAGTCCCCAGACTATTTTTGGATTATTTTTAAACTTATTTTTTGGGCATTTTTTTTCCGTCGCAAATCTCCTTGTGGGGGGACAGGCCCGACTTAAGGGTTGTGCGGATACCGTCGAGACGCTGTCATAAGAATCTTCAGTAAGGAACGAGGCCCCTTCTTCTCCATAAGTCAAGCTCGATTCCCCATAGAATATCAGAGGAGCTCCCAAGCCAATCTGCAAAACAATCAAGGAACACTGAGCCCCTCCCCAACGAAAAGGGTTCCTTCTTCAGCGGCCCGACTGTATCGTGGGCGGGGCCGTGAACCTTCCAGATCTCGTGGCCCCCCCTGCTCTTGCAGAGCCGGTCCCTTCGCCCCCCACCCCTCGTTCAGGCACACGCCGTGGGCCATGGCGCGCCAGATCCTCTCCACCCGCCCCCCCTCCTCTTCTCGGGCGGGCGGCAGTGGGGGGTGGCTCCATTGGGGGGTGAAGAAGAAAGGGCCCTGCATGGGGCCCCTCGTGGGGCCCCCTGTGGGGCCGGCTGGTGCCCAAAAGGGGCCCTGCAGGGGCCCTTGTGCAGCCGGCTGGTGCCCAAAAGGGGCCCCCAAGGGCCACCTTTTGTGGCGGTTTTCTTCACCCACCATCTGGGTCACCCTCCATTGCCACCCGCCCGATCTTCGGAGGGAGGAGGAGGAGGAGGAGGAGGAGGATGAGGAGGAGGAGGAGGACGAGGAGGAAGAGCAGGAGGAGGTTGTGGCCAGGACTAGAACACATTCTCACGTTTTAATGCCCACAGACTACGTGAGCAATCTGCCCATGCACGAGTTCTAGCGGCACAGTCCTTGCAGAGAGTGCAGCTCACGGTGTCCTGACAGCAGCTTGCCACAGACAGGGCACGCTTTTACATTGATAGGCCAACCTGAAAAGGCCAGCCTGCTACACCTATCATAAGACTGCTTGCCGGACAATATGGGCTCGTGCTGAACCCGAGAATAACCATGCGAAAAGCACGAGGGTCCCAGTACCGAGGTGGTTCGGGGTAATCCCAAAACCCTGGGCGGCAACCCTAGAACTGCTACACTTTACTGCGCGTTGCTATGGCAGCTCGCACGACCCACCTCTTCCTCATCACACCTCCCACCTCACTCCTTCCACCTGGCCAGCAGCGCACTATTGCCAGTCACTTCCTTCGATGTACTGCTGTCGCTGTCTTGTCTGTTTACTCCGCCACATTGCCCGTGCCTCAGTTTCGGTCAAGACAGGCAAGCCTACCAGGCCAGCCTAAATACGGCACGCTGAGACTCTTTACGGAGGACAGCCAACCCGCAGATCTGCCATTTTTTTGCCCAGCTTCGGCAAGCCCTCACAGTGCATACCCTGCCACGCTCTAACCTCGTCCTCCTTTCACATTTTCTTTTACCTCCTTCTGCACGGCTATACGACGCGATGGTGGCACACTACCGTCTGCAGGTCATAGCCAATAGACACTTCGAGGAAACCTGATACAGGTTATCCTCCACATACCAGGGCGCCATGCGTACGCCCTACATTGTCGCTATAACGATTTTTTTTTGCAGTTTCGATTGGCCAGTCGCACGACATTGCATTCAAGCAAACCTCCATAATCAAGAGGCTACTTGCACCTCTTTTTCACTCTCCGCAGTCGGCCTTGATGGCACCTGTACTGTGGATGGGCGGGGGTCGGATCTTATCCTGGGGGTTGGTGGATGAGGATCTGTGCAGCTACGTTTTTACCGTGCCAGATTGTCCGCACCTCAGGCGCATCCTTTCATACAGGCGAGCCTTTTTGGCCAGCCTAAGTGCACTGCACTTGCTGAGCCACGACGACACTCACCATCGATCCTACGATTCGCCTCTCAATTGCGCATCGTTACGGCCGCTGTTGTCCATCTAAGGTGAGTGTCGTCACTCAAGGGAGGAACAACCACCCGTACCAGACGATTGGCGTTCACTAAACGGCCTTGGGCGTTTACTGAACAGCCCTGCCCTGCTTGATTCTTTCTTTGGGCGCGTTTACTAAACGGCTTCGCGTGTCGGGGTGGTTATCATGGGGGTGTTTTTTTGACCTCTAGATTATTTACCCCTCATTTGCGCATCGTTACGGCCGTTATTATCCATCTAAGGTGAGTGTCGTCACACCTGGCGGGCGTAAACTCTTGCCAATCTTCTTGCCCAGCGCTCATTCTCTTTCATGTGCCGCGGCGCCCGCCTGGTGCCCTTTTCCTTGGCCCGAGTGTTTTTTTTGTGTGTGTGTGTGTGTGTGTGTGTGTGTGTGTGTGTGTGTGTGTGTGTGTGTGTGTGTGTGTGTGTGTGTGTGTGTGTGTGTGTGTGGGGGGGGTGCCAGTCACCGCTAACGCCACAGCGTCACGTTAAGGTTAAATTTGCGCAAGAGGAGGAGGAGGAGGAGGAGGAGGAGGAGGATGAGGAGGAGGAGGAGGGAGGGGCAGGAGGAGGAGAGGAGAAGGAGGAGAGAGAGGAGAGGAGGAGGAGGAGGAGGAGAGGGGGGAAAAAGGAGGAGGAGGAGGAGAGAGGAGAGGGAGGAGGAGGAGGAGGGCAGGGAGGATCGAGGAGGAGGAGAGGAAGGAGGAAGGAGGAAGGAGGAGGAGGAGGGGAGGAGAGAGAGGAGGAGGAGTAGGAACATGAGGAGGAGAAACATGAGGAGGAGTAAGGAGGAGGAGGAGAGGTAGGAGGAGGAAGGAGAAGAGGAGAGAGGAGGAGGAGAGGGAGGACTCCATGCCTCCCTTTTTCGTCGAAAACCCTACCCCCCCACCCCACGCTCCGCACACGTGCCAGCGCCAGCTTTGGGCCCAAGCGCGTCGGGGACCCACTGCCTCGCGCCGTGGCAAGAGGCCTCGGCATCCCGACGTGAAGACCAGCCCGGGGCATGCAGTGTCGAGCAGCGCGGGCAAACGTCAGGATCACCACGAACTTCGGAGCAAATCTCTGAAATCTCTGGGCGCGCAGAGGCGAGCTGAGGCCCCTACGGTGTGCAATCTATCTGAGGGGTGCGCCAAAATGGGTCTGGGACCGCAATTATGAGCTGCCTATTGGGATACGGCCTTCGCGAGGGGTGTGCCGACATAGGCGCGGTGGCGCCACGCGGTAGGGCCCACGGAGGCCGTACACAGGGATCTGCGTGAGAGGTGTGCCGAAATGGCCTCGGCGGCGCAACTCGATCGGACCCGCCGGGACCGCAGGTGTCGCAGTGAGATCGTAGGTGGAGGTCCCGGTGGGGCCACGAACCTCGAGGGCGATGTGCCGAAGTGGACGCGGCGGCGCCACGCGGTCGGCCTACAGAGGCCGTCGTTTCGGCGGAGATCCCGAGGCCGTCATGCGGTGGAGACCCCAATGTGGCCACGTGAGGGCTTTGCCGGAAGGAGCACGGCGGCGGCAGCAAGAAGACGTGTCCTCGATCGTCCCCCTCCTCCTTCTGGGGGGAGGGCGTATTTTGGGGGGCCTGCGGCGGGCTCCGGGTATCAAGACGGGCCCCAATTGTCCCAACACACGTCTAGCCTCGACCCTCCTCCACCTCCCGAGCTCCTCCCGTGCCTCACCTTTTGGAACCTGAAGGCGCGGGCAAAGCAGGACAGGAGGAGGGAGGAAGGAAGGAGGAGGATGAGGATGAGAGGAGGGAAGAGGAGGAAAGGAGGAGGAGGAGGAGGAGGAGGAGGAGGAGGACGAGGAGCAGGAGGACGAGGAGGAGGTGGAGGAGGTGGATGACTAGGAGAGCGATGGGAACGTGGTTGAGTTCACCGCTGGCGACCACGAGACCTGGGAGAGGCTGCTCCGCGAGAAGATGGAGAGGGCGGGGGTCACGGAGATTCTCCCGGACGGGCTCTCGATCACTGACGCCAAGGGTGCCTCCTCGTCTTCGGGTGCTGCCAGAGGTGGCCGTGGCCCAAGGTGACCGCAGGGAGTTCGGGGAGACCCCAGCGGCCTTCGGGGTGCCCCTCACGAGGCAGAGGCTCCAGGGTGGCGCGAAAAGCTGGGGGCACCTTGGGTCAGCAGCGCCTTTAGCAGCCCCTGGCTTCCCCTCTGCGGCAGGGGACGGGGCGACGGGGTGGGGCGCCGGAGACGACGCTTCTCCTCCTCCACTCTGCTCCGTCCTTCCATCTCTCCCCTGAGCCCCTCTTCCCCCGTCGTCGTCGTCGTCGTCGTGCTCTTCCTTCTGGAGGGGGGAGCATGTGGAGGAGGAGGAGGGGGGGAGGGGAGCAGGTAGGGAGAGGAGGAGGAGGAGGAGGAGGAGGAGGGAGGAGGAGGAGGAGGAGGAGGAGTAGGAGGAGGAGAAGGAGGAGGAAGATTAGGATGAAGGGAGGGAGGAGGTAGTAGGCGGAGAGATAAAGGAGGAAGCGGAGAAGGAAGGTAGGAAGGAAGGAACGGAGGCGCTAGGGGGGGGAAAGGAAGGGAGGGGAGCACAGCATGAGTGGCTGAATCGGACGTAGTCCGTAGGAGGAGGAGGATGCTGATCAGATAGAATAGGAGGAGGAGAGGAGGAGGTGACTGAAGGTAGGCAGGAGTAGGAGTCGTCGGCGTGGCTGGGCGGGAGGAGTTGGAGGCGGAGGAGGAGGAGGAGGAGGAGGAGGAGGAGGAGGAGGAGGATTAGTAGTAGGGAGGAGGAGGGGAGTCCGGTGTAGGACGTGTGACTTACGGGGAGTACGGAGATCCAGATGGCCATCAGGGCCCCTGCGGGGTGGGTGGGCGCCCCCCACCACCCGCGCAAAGGGGGGCTGACCCGAGCGCGCCGCCCTATGGGCGGCGCGCGTGCGAGTGGAGAATCACCCACCAGCTGACCAAACTACAAGCTTGACATCCACGACATCAGCTACAGTCGGGGCCCTGAAGAAGGAACCCTTTTCGTTGGGGAGGGGCTCCGCGTTACTTAAGTGTTTCACAGCTTGCCTCATGCTTTCCTGAGGTTTTCGACGAGAAATCGAAGGTTCACTTATGGAAAAAAGGGGCCTCGTTCCTTATTTAGGGTTCCTTAGGTCAACGCCCCGACTGTACGAGAAGTACCCACATCTGTGGGGACTGCCGGCAGCATGCCGAGATTTTACTCGCATCGAGAGGTACGAACATGTTCAGCTGTCAAGAGAACGGACGACCTACCCGACACGGGCTACGACTACACCTCCACGACGTCATGACCATAGCTAGGAACCCCTTCATGATGGCGTCTTCTACAGGACGGGATGAGCTGCGCAACGTGCGACCAGAGGAAGAGCTGCGTAACGTGCAGCCCGAGGAAGAGCTGCGTAACAGGCAGCCGAAATACGACACCGAGTACGCCACCAAAACCGACACCAGGAAAGACACGTCCGGACAGCCCGAAAGGGCTACGAAGTATGTCGCCGTGGAGGTACCGGTGGACAACGGCCGCGCCGCCTACGGCGAGTGCGACTACGGCCGCGCCGCTTACGACGAGGACTCTTACGACAGTGTGTTCGATAACGAGCTGTAGTCCGACGACCCCCAAGGTTACGACGGACCGCGTGGCTACGAAAGCAGCCAGGATTACAGGGACGCAGAAGGTAGAAAACTACGGCTTGGCAGCCGACGATTTTGATTCGGTCTCCGGGTCTCTGGGGACTGCGAAGAGAGCGTGCCCTCTGAACCGTTACAGTCTTCAGCAGAGTTTCCAGGGCAACCAGACGACCTTCGAGGGCCACAGGCTGAATTGCGAGGACCACACGCACAGCTACGAGAGCCACCTGAAGAGCTTCAAATCCAACGTGCCGAGTTCGAAAACCGCTAGCAGAGCCACGGGACCCACTGGCTGATCTACGAAGGCCGCGAGCTGCACTACGAGAAGCAAGGCTACGAGAGCCACCAGCTGGACCACGAGAGCAGCAAGCTGTCTTACGAGGACCACAAACTGAGCTACGAGAGCCACAACCAGAGCCACAGGAACCCTGATTAGAAGTAATACAGGACCCACCTGCCACGCTTCGAGAGCTACCTGCCGAGCCACGAGAGACACATGTGGATCGACGAGGACCGCAAGCTGAGCCACGAACGCCACAAGCAGGACAACAAAAACTACTATCAGTTGAATCGCGATGACCGCCTGCTGCGCTACGAAGGCCACTAGCTGAGACACGAGGACCACCTGCTGAGCTACTGCAGGCACCAGCTGTGCTACGAGGCCACAGGCACAGCTACGAGAGCTACACGGGCCATGTCCTCAGCTTTCAGGGCCACACCCAGAGCTACGCGGACTACAGAACGACCTACCTGATGCTCTTGCAGAGCGACTAGGGCGACGAGCTGAACGGCAAGGACCATACTCATAACTCCGAGACCCACCTGCTGAACCACGAGGGGCAGACAGAACGACGAGGGCCACTATTGAGCAAGGGCTGCCACCAGCTCAGCTACGAGGACCAGTTGCTGAGATATTGGGGCCACGCGCTGAATCACCAGGGTCACAGACAGGGCTCCGAGCACCACGCGTAGGGCTCCAAGGGCCGCCAGCTGAACTACGAGAGCTACGAGGGCCACCTGCTGAGCTACCAAGGCTACATCCAGAGTTGCGCGGACTACAGGAAGAACTACGAGAGCCTTCTGCAGAACTGCTTAAGGCGGCGAGCCGAACTGTAAGGCCCACCACAACGAGAGACACCAGCATAGCCACGAGGACTGCGAGCTAAGCTACGGGAGCCACAGGCACAGTTATCAGAGCCACCAGCAGAGCTACGAGGACCACCAGGTGAGCCGCGAGGGCCACCAGCTGAACGACGAGGGCCGCAGGCAGAGCTACGAGGACAACCGGCTGAGCTACCGAAGGCGCCAGCTGTGCTGTGAGGGCACCAAGCAGAGCTACCAGGGCCACAGTGGACCTCCGAGGACCTCAAGCTGAGCTACCCAGACCACAGGCAGAGCTGCGAGAGCCACCAGAAGACCTACGAGGACCGCGAGCTGAGCTACGAGGACCACAGGCACGGCTGCGAGAGCCACCAGAAGAACTTCAAGGCCCCCGTGCTGAGCCACGAGAGCCACTAGCAGAGCTACGAGAGCCACAAGCTGAGCTACGGGATGGCAGCCGCGTGCGTCTCGTGGGGCTGAAAACAAGGCCGGCCCTCAACGTCCAAGAGGGGGTCCTGGGCCACTTTGACGTGCAGGCCGAGCGACGGGTATGCCGAAGCGGAGCAACCCAGTTCATTGGGAATACTCGAAGCAAAGGCTCTGCAAAATGTACCATGATCGGGCCCAAGTTTTCGGTACTACACGCTGCGAAGCGATTGTGTGTTCGAACGGCTGTGCGACGTCGAATCCGCGGAGGTCCAGCCTGGGGCTACCCAGCTATCCTTCGACATGTTTTAGCGCGGAACTTTGTTCGATGCGCTGTTCGCCCAGATGGCGTAGAGCATAACACGAACGTGACCAAGAACGGCGAGACCGGCTTGCGTGACGCAGGAGAAGGCTTCGAACTACAGCGTCACGGTCAAGGGCGTGCAAGTACAATACATGTACATCGCCACACAATTTCATACGTCTACTTAATGTTAGCGCTGTGCCGCATCCCATGAGCGGTCTGGCCGCTCCTTCTCCTCCTTCTCCACCTCTGTGGTCCTCTGGATGGTTTGATGATGGAGTTGGGTGGCCCTCCCTCCCCTTCCCCCCCTCCCTCGGAAAAAAGGGCGCGCCTCGGCCCTGGGGCCGCGCCGCGCGCGGCGCGGGCTTCGAGGGCGGGGGCGCCGGGAACCTCATAATCGGCTGCGATATAGTTACTTATGTATATAAATACATATATATACACATATACATATATAGATAGGGAGAGAAGGATATATATATATAGAAAGAGAGAGAGAGAGAGAGAGAGAGAGAGAGAGAGAGAGAGAGACAGAGAGAAACAGGGAACGATAACATATTGGAAGCTTACATAGCCTTGCGGGTGGCTGGTCCGTTGATCGTAGTAGACGGACCACCCACCGACGGCCAGAGCACGCTGAATCGAGCTAAGCAGCGCGAGGTTGAGGAAAGGTCGCTCCCCCACAGCCAAGACTGCAATGGAGGGGCGGGCCGAAGTGGGGAAACGGAGGAGCGAGGCAGAAGCCGAAAGGATGGGGTATTGGGGTATCGAGCGTGGGATGGGTGGCTGATGGTGTCGGCGGGCGAAGCGAACACTGAGAAACATGGGCGCTGGGGCTCTCGCCCGTCGAGAACTGATGAGGGGCAGCAGCTGAGCAAGATGGGTGTGGGCTGTTCCCCACAGTGTGAGCACCGCAGGGTGTGCGAGAGATTGAGAGCACCGCGCGAACCACGAGATTCAACAGCACGCGCTAGATCGCGTAAATTTAGAGAGACAGGGACTGAATGACGAACAGGGCAGGAAGCGGGAGAGGAAGCAGAAGCACGGGGCCGATGTCAAATGCGTCGTAGGGGCCCCAGCGGAGCAGCTGGCTCAGGAGTGGCGGGTGGTGCCGGCGGGGAGGGAAGAGCACAGGGAGGCGCGGACGCTGGGGTGTCCGAGGCGGAGAGGTGGGCGGGGCAGAGCAGCAGTGGCGGTGAGATGGGTGTGGGCTGTGCTTCGACGGTGTGGAGCGATGGATCGCTCAAGCATCAGGAGGGGAAAAACCCACACAGACACATTTTCATCGTCGATCCCCCAAAAAAGATGGGAAACACGTGGGAATTGGGCGGGAAGACGAAAACCCAGAAAGTATGGGAAACTATGGGGAATCATTTTATTTGTGTGTATATATTTGTGTGTCCTTGGGCCCCTTGAAAGTAAGAGGGGCAGCGAGAGAGTTATCTACAGGACAGAGAGGAGGGTATGAAGCAGAACGCAGGGGCCGATGTCAGAAGCCAGGCAGCGGCTCTACTGGAGCGGGCGGCTGAGGAGCGGCGGATGGTGCCGCAAGGTGGGAAGAGAACGTGGGGAAGCATGGACGCTGGAGGAGGAGGAGGAGGAGGAGGAGGAGGAGGAAAAGGAGGAGGAGGAGGAAGAGGAGGAGGAGGAGGAAGAGGAGGAGGAACAGGAGGAGGAGGAGGAGGAGGAGGAACAGGAGGAGGAGGAGTAGGAGGAGGAGGAGGAGGAGGAGGAGGACGAGGACTGATGTGAGTTGTGCTTCGAAGTTGTGGGTCGACGTAGCAACCCCACAGCGAGAGCACCACTTGAGTCGCGAGGCAGCGGGAGCACCACTGGAATTGCCAGACACCTGAGCATGCACATGCAACGCAATTGGAATTGCCAAACAGTGCGAGCACCCTTGAGATTACGAGGTACTCGGAGCATCGCGGCAAGCGAGTTTGGAGGACGGGGGAATGGCTACAAACGGAGAGGTGAACAAGGTAACAGCAGTGGGAGCGAGATGGATGGGGGCTGGTCCCCTCAGCGAACGCACGACACAAGTTGTGAGAGATGAGGAGGAGGATCTTGGCGGATTGCGCAGCCTTCAGGGTGGTTGGACCTTGTAATCCAGAAACAGAGAGTGGCATTGAGTGCACTGCTATCTTTACTTAAGAGCTGGGGCGAGAAAGAAGACACGTTCGGAAATCAGGCAAGCAGAATGGGGGGCGAAGGTGTGAACGCAGTGCCACAGGACGTGTAGAGTCGACCTGATTGAGATCGTAATGGGCTGGACGCCGGCACTGTAGACAGGGTGACACGGGTGGCGTGATTCGTCCGCCCCATCGTGGCCCCATCAACAGTGGGCAAACCAGGGCCGAGATCGGATTTTTAGGTGCTTTGTTTCGCTGTTGGGGCCGATGAGGCGTCGGAGGGTCAGGCGATTCGTCGTAGAGCATGCGCCACGACCGAGCTCCCAGGTGACAGGCTGGCCCAGGCAGCCGCCGAGCTAACAGGTGGCATGTCCGATTTGTGGGCGCGATGAGTAGGTCAGCTCCCGCTTGGAGGAGGAGACGGAGGAGGAGGAGACGGAGGAGGAGACGCGGGGGTCACGGAGGGTCTCCCCAGGAGGCTCCTGATCAGCGACGCCAAAGCTACACAGCACACGTTACGTGGTGCAAACTGTTCGCGCTGCAAGCGGTGCAGCCGGTGTGTGGCGCAAGCCATGCGGTTCGAGCAGTGTCATGCAACTTGTGTCTGGCGCAAGCTGCGTGGTGTAACCTGTGTGCCGAGAGCAGCGTGCTGCAAGCTGGTCGGTGTGAGCTGTGAGGTGCGAGCACCTTGGCTTGAGCTGTGCGGTGCACGCCGTGCAGCACGAGCCCCGCGAGGCGCCCGCGGCCGCCCACCAGGCGAGACCTCTGCAGACCCGCCCAGCACACGAGGCGCCCACGAGGCGCCCACGGGCGCCCTTAAGCGAAGCCTCGGCAGACCCAACCCTGCACGGATACAGTCGGAGGGAGGAGGACGAAGTGTGATCGGCGGTGAGGGGGGGAAATAAGAAGGATAAGGCCTTCTCAGGAGGTGGCGGAACTTCTCGGAAGGCCTCTGGCCTTCTCAGAGGTTTTGTGTGTCTTCGCGGAAGGCTTGGAACAGTTCTGCGAAGGTCGGGGGACTTCCGAGCCTTCTGAGAAGGCCCGCCCCTTGTCACTTCCCCCCCCCGGGCTCGCCGCACAGAGAAGGGATGAGAAGGGAGGAGGAAGGAGGAGGATGAGGCGGATGACGGAAGGAGGAGGAGGAGAAGGAGGAGGAGGAGGAGGAGGAGGAGGAGGAAGAGGAAGGAGAGGAGAGGAAGGGAGAAGGGACGAAGGAGGATGGAGGGATTTATGTGATTCGCACGCAGCACTAGATTTTTATAATGACAGTGGAGGAACGGAAGGGGGGCACGGGAAAAGGCGCGCCGGACAGGAGAACGAGAGGAGAAGAGAGGAGAGGAGGAGGAGAGGAGAGGAGAGGGAAGGAGGAGGAGGGAGGGTAGCAGTAGCAGAGCAGGAGCAGGATGAGTAGGAGAGGAGGAGGAGGAGGAGGAGGAGGAGGAGGAGGAGGAGGAGGAGGAGGAGGAGGAGGAGGAGGAGAAAAGAGAAGCCGTCGAGCGCGGAAGGTGCGCTGGTCGACCTGACTGGTGGCACCCGCCTCAGGCCGGAGCACTTCCCCATCCGCGTGCGGTACTCGCTGCCAGTGGGCGGGAGGCCGAGGCGGCCCCGCGCGCAGCTCAGCATCGCCAGCCTGTGGGCCGGTCTCGGAGGCCTGGAGATTGACACCAACGCCAGGACTGGTGGGGTTCCTCCGCCGAGAGAATTGATGATCCCGATCCCGGTGATGGTGGGAAGATTCGGGCTTCCTGCAGGACTCGTCAGAAATATTGCAAAACGCCGTTCAAGATCGGACACGATGGTTCGGGTACCAAGCCGCGTTCTTCAATGCTGCGAGGGCGCTGCTGGATTTCGGACACCCCTGCGCGTGGGCCAAACAACTCATGCCAGCATTGAAGTAGCGCAGACCGCGCAAGCGCCGAAAGCAAAAATAGTCAAATTATTTTGACAAGTCTTGCAGGTGGCCAGGAAATTAGCGTCAAAGCTAAATACTAGGATTATCTTCCCCTGGTGGAGCCCCCCCCCGTGCTGGTGTTGGTGCCCATTCGAAACGTAAGATTCGAGTTCAACCGGACTCGGGTGTGCCGACGCTTTTTGATGGGCCCGTCCTGAATTTTGATGCTCCAGCTTTGTGGGATGGCTGATTTCAGGCTGGGTCTCGTGTTTTTCCTGACAGCCCTGTCAGGCCAACCCGAGTCCCCCAGACCCGAATCCTACGTCTCCCCGAGACCACCGCGGCAGTCCTTGGCGTTTGTCGTCCTTTTTGTGGCCTCCGGGGGGCTCCGCGTCTCGAGAGAGCACACCCCACCCCACACTCACCAGGATGATTTTGACACTTTTTCCGGAACCTTTCTGGACTGGTGTGTGGGTGGCTCGGGTCGCCTTCGGCGCCACCACAGCGGTGTCCGCCTCGAAGAGCGGGTCAGGATGCCCCCCCCGATGTTACCAGCCTGGAACATATCCCTATCCCTATGCTGGGCACCTCCTCAATCTTAGGGATTCCCTTATTTTTTGAGGGCGAATCCCTAAGATTGTCATCGCCTTTTGGCGTGTCAATCTTAGGGATAGGGATACGTTCGAGGCTGGTAACGATGGTCTTGGGGGCGGCCTATCTCGGGCGGGCGCGGGCCGGGCGGGGGAGCCGCCGTGGCCCCAGCTGTGGCCCCTCCTCTCGGCGGCGAGCGAGGGGGGGGGGGGAAGCGAGGAGGAGGAGGAAGGACAGCGAGAGGAGAGGAAGGAAGGAGGAGGAGGAGGAGGAGGAGAGGAGAGGGAGAGCAGGAGGAGGAGAGGAGAGGAGGGAGGAGGAGGAAGGGAGGAGGAGGAGGAGGAGGGAGAGGAGGGAGGAGGAGTAGCGAGGAGGAGGAGGAGGAGGAAGCGAGGAGGAGGAGGGGGGGAAGCGAGGAGGAGGAGGAGGAGGCCCCCTGCCTTCGGAGAAGTGTTCTAAGCCTTCTCCGAGGACACAGACAAAAACACTTCCTCAGAGGGCGCGGGGGCTTCTGAGAAGCCCCCGCTGCCTTCTGCGAGGGCCTTCTCCTTCTCATGACCCCCCTCGCTCGCCGCCGAACTTCTCGTTACTTTTTTGATGGCTCCATCAGGCCAACCCGAGTCCCCCGAACCCGAGTCGCTTCTTCCCGACTTCTTTTCAGTGTGTGTGTGTGTCTGTGTAAGTGTGTGTGTGTGTGTGTCGTCTCTTCCCGCCTGCACCGTGCCTCCTCTCCTCTTCCACCGTGCACCACGGCCCAACTTGTGTTTGGCGCGCCCCACTGATGCCCGATCGCCGGAGCAGTAACCTCTGCCCAGCCGCCGACGCAAAAAGTGTGTGTGTGTGTGTGCGTGTGCGTGTGTGTGTGTGTGCGTGTGTGAGAGTGTGTGTGTGTGTGTGTGCGTGCGTGCGTGCGTGCGTGCGTGTGTGTGTGTGTGTGTGTGTGTGTGCGTGTGGGGGGGGAGCAGGTCGGCCGTCGTGGCCGAGCTTTTCCTGTGGTGGGGCTGCGACGGTGAGGCCCAGTGAGGTCAGAGCACGCGGTCCGCCCAAGCGTCGGCACCCAGAGGAGCAGCTCCGAAACCGAAGTGCTCAACAAAAAGAACTGCGCAGCTGCCCTTCGCACCCCGTGGGAAACGATGGCTGCAACGACGGTCCCCCGAGGCACTGTGCAACTTCCCGTTTTTCCCTGCATGCCGGCCCGCATGGGATCCGCATGTTCCATCCGTTTGCCAATGCGCCGTCAGGGCGCGGCTTCGTTCGTTCGTTCGTTCGCTCGCCTGGTGACAGTTCAAGCAGGAGGGCCTCCGTAAGATTCTAGAGGGCGCCCAGCCTCGTGCCCTGGGCAAGTCGTCCTCGGATTCTGTGGCTGGTGCAGCGGTCTAGGTACTCAAGATGCTTGCGCTGGTCGGCCGGCCCCTCAGAGAGGATGCGTGCGGCCTCCCGCTTCGTGTGCATCGTGTCCGCCGCTGCAGCTCGCCATCCTCCGTCCTTGGAGCCCGACCCACCTGCCCGGATCAGCGCACACCGAGGGCCCAGGAACATGCTCGGCAACGCGCAGAGGGGGTAGGGGGAGAGGGGAAGGCTTCTTAGAAGCACCCCTGCTTCTTAGAAGGCGCGGGCCTTCTCTATAGACGTAAGGCCGAGGCCTTCTAAGAAGCAGGGTGCTTCTAAGAAGCCTTCCCCCCTGCCCTAACCCTTTGTGCGCGCCGCCAACATGCTCCACCGCCAGGATACGTCCACGTCCACCGTGTTGGAGTCGTGCCAGGAGATGCGGAGGAGCGGTGGACGTGGACGTCTGCCCGCCCGCGCGGGCGGGCAGACACGGCTGTGGCGGTCGTGCAGGACTGCGCCCAGGGGGTCTCAGACCTTGGGGGCTTCCTTATCTAATACGGGCGGCGGTGAGATCCATGGCCAACCCACGATCGAAGTTCCACTGGCCCTGGATTCCTTATCCACTGGTTCCTGATCCAATGCCCCCACAGTGTCCACATCCATCGCTCCCTGAGTTCTCGGGACACGGCCCCGCGGCAGTGGCTATGGTCACGTTCTGGCGGCGCAGCCGGCGGTGTCCTGGTCTTGTCCACACGGGGCCTCTCCAGAGGTCCGGACCCTCTCCCCCGGGGCCGGCTTGCTGGGCGGGAGGGTGGAGGCGCTATAGCGGGGGAGGAAGGGCCGCGGCCCGGGCGGAGAGGAGTGCGGCGGGCCCCTCCGCAGTCCTCCTCCTCCTTCTCCTCCTCCTCCTCCTCTTCCTTCTCCTCCTCCTCCTCCTCCTCCTCCTCCTCCTCCTCCTCCTCGCCCCCCCGCCGCCAGCTTACCTCCCTTCGCCCCCCCAGCCAGCGCGCCCCCTCCGCCCCCACCATTTTCTTCTGGCACGTCACGGCACGGCACGGCGCCGCGCCCCCACGGGGGCTCTGCGTGCTGCTCGCGCGGGCAGTGGAGCAGTTCGGTCGCAAATCATGGGAGCCTGGTGTACCCCTGCAATTCCGTCTTTAGCGTCGACTGGCGGCCAGGAGCGTCTGGGAGTCGGTGCGGTGGCGCCGACTCCGCTGCGGCCGGCGGCGACTCGGCGTCGACTCAGCGTCGACGAGCGCCGACTCAGCGCCGACGGGCGTCGACTCGCAAGAGCCGACCAGAGGGTGTGGGAGGCTCCCGCGAGCTGCCGCAGAGACGCAGCGCTGCGGGTGGGCGCGCGGCTGGGCCCGCGCGCGCCTCCGCCGCCCGCGGCGTCTCCCCCCCCCCCCCCCCTCCGCGCGCCTCGCTCGGCTCCCGCCGTGCCTCGTGGCCGCGCCCGCACCGCGTCTTGGACCCAGGTCGCCGCGACGAAGCACAGCGCGTGGCTCGGTGTGTGTGTGTGTGTGTGTGCTGCATACACTGTCGATGACGCAGGCATGCACGCAAGTCGAGGTAGCATGGTCCGTGTCAGGGGTCGATGACTCGCCGTCGAGTCTGAGCATGCATGCATGCATGCATGCACGTCGAGGTGGCATGCTCGGGAGGAGAAGGCGAGTGCCCTGAGGGCACTCCACTTCTCCTCCCCCTCTGCGCTTCGCGCGCGAAGGCCCTGCAGAGCAGCCCCTCCTGCTCCCCGGCGTGGGTCTCGGCCGTGCCAGCGCGGGCAGCGGGGAGGCTCCGGCTCGGGGCGCAGATCCGCACCAGGCACGGTGGGGGCGTTGGTTAAGGAGTGTGCCCAGGAGGCTCTGGGCCCTGGAGGATTCCTGATCTGATGAATCGGAGAAGAAAGAACGCCATGAACATACACTTTTGGCGCTCCGCGCGGATTTCTTGGACCTGCGTTGGACCCCCTTCTCTGGCGCGCTCCGCGCGCCAGGGGCGGCGCCGGAGGCGCCGCCGCGGGGGCCCAGCGCGGACCCAAGAAATCCGCGCGGAGCGCCAAAAGTTTATGTTTATGCAGTTTTTATTGTCTTATTCTAATGAGGGCGGCGGTGATATCCATGGCCGATCCACGATTGGATTCCCCTGGCTTCCAGATGCTGGGCTCCTTATCCAGCGGCTCCTCGTTCAATGCCCTCACCGTAGCCAGAAGGGGTTGGGCACGCCACCCTCTTCCTGGTCTTCGCAGAGGCGCGTGGGTCTCTGTGTGCGCCCCTGTTGCACGAGCACCTGGCCGTGGCAGGCTGCTCACCTCACTGTCCCCGGTGGTGCCCGCTCACCTCGCGGTGCCCGTCGGTCTCCGATCGGCTCGTTTTCCCTGGCCTCGCGCCTGCCGCTCCCCCTTCGCATGCCCGGGGCTGGCTGGTGGGGCCATCGGGCACCGACGGCCTCACCTGGCGGTCCCAGTGTTAGTCGGTTCTCTTGCGCGAGCCTTTGAGCGTGGTGCTGGGTGCGATGCTCACCAGCCCAGGCGGTGCGATGCTCACCAGCCCAGGTGGTGCCTGCACGCAGCACCAGGTGGTCGGTCGGGACCCTTCGTGTTGTGCATAACCCGTCGGCTTCGTCTATGTTTTACGCTTCTCTTTGTCTCGCAGATGCCGCGCAGATCCCAGAAGCATCTTTGCGTGTCCATCCTCGCTCTTGCATTTGCCAGCTCGGGTGATGGGGATTTCCAAGCCTGACGGGGCAATGTGCTCTCTTTGACCAAGAAGGGGCCAAGGCATGCCGAGACGCCGCTTCCTTTTGATGTGTGCACTGCAATCTTGCTATGTATGTACGGCCTCCTCGCTCCTCTCCTCGGTCCTCTTCCGTCCCTGCCTCTGCACTGTGCTGCTCTGACCCCTCTCTTCCACTGCTGTTCCAGGGCCCTTGAGCTCGTGGCGCGCAGACGCCCACCGTGCGCATCAAACAGAGCGAAACCGTCTTGACCTCACGGGGCGCAAGGGGTCTGCGGAGGAGGAGGGGTGGTGGTGCGCTCGCGTTCCTTCCCTCCTTCCTCCTTCCTCCTCCTCCTCCTCCTCCTCCTCCTCCTCCTCCTCCTCCTCCTCCTCCTCCTCCTACCTCTTCTGTCCTTCCTCCTCGTTTCGCCCTCGCAATGAAGCGCCGCCTTTTCCAGCCCCTTTCTCATGGTTGCTTTTGACGGCGAGTTCTCCAGCGATCACCTTACTTAGGTGTCAGGCCGCCGTGGTGCTATGGGCCCGTCTTACAGTGGATGCCCATGCCAAGAGACACCCTGATTGCCTCCAGGGTGCCCTGGGTTTCTTGGGTTTCGATGGCTTTGCGATGGAGAGCGCGACGCTCCCACGCCCGAAAACCAGCGGACGTCTTTGGGCCTCAGGGTTGGGCTTCTTGTGGAAGGTCTCCTGTGGCCGAGCTCCTCTGTAGGGCCACTGTGAGGCGTGCACTTGCAACAGCCTGAGCCTGAAGCCAAAAGCCCTCGAGCGAGGGCAGGGGATCGACAGCACAAAGCTTCCGCGGTCCATGCGCTGGCCCATGGGGGTCAGATCGGGGCAGACTGCGGCCGCGTCCCGAGCGTGCGTTTTTGTTTCTTCACTTTCCTCACCTCCCTCCTACCCTCCTCCGCCCTCCCTCCTCCACTTTTTCCTCCTCCCTCCTCCTCCTCCTCCTCCTCCTCTTCCCCCTCCTCCTCCCCTCCTCCTCCTCCTCTCTCCTCCTCCTCCTCTTCCCCCTCCTCCTCCTCCTCCTCCCTCCTCCTCCTCCTTGTCCCTCCTCCCTCCCGCTCCTCGTCCTCCCTCCTCCTCCTCCTCCTCCCTTTCTGCTGCTGCTCCTCCGCCTCCTCCTGTTTGCCCCTCCTTCCTCCTCGTCCCTCCTCCTCGTCCCTCTCCCCTCCTTATCCTCCTCCTCCCCTTCCTTCCGTCTCCCTCCTCGTCCTCCTCCTCTTCCTCCTCCCTCTCCCTCCTCCCTCCTCCTCCCTCCTCCCTGCCCCCCCCCGCTCCCCCCCTTTAGACCGCCGTCGCCCGTGCGCGTCAAGAGCACCTACGTGCCCCTGAAGCGGACGCTGCCGCCGCAGCGCGGCGAGGCGCCCGCCGGGGGAAGAAAGTGTCCGAGCTGGTCTTCCGCAGGGGCTCGAAGCTAGCCCAGACCTTCGGACCGTTCTCTGAGGGGCTTCGTTCCTAATGTGTCGTTCCTTAGGTCAGGCCGAATACTGTAGTCTCATCGTCGTCGGAACCATCCAACCCCGACCGAGACGGGGCAAGGTAGCTCTGCCATACAGTGGAGGCCCGTGCCACGAAACACCCTCCTTGCCTCCCAGGGTGCCCCTGGGTTTGACGTTCTCACACGAAAAATCAATGAGCGCCCTGGGGTCTCAGGGTTGGGATTCTTCTTGTGGAAGGTTTCTTGTGGACTGGCCTCCACTGTACGACCCCTGTATGGGGATGGGTGCTGCGAAGCCCAAAGGAGACGGCACCCATCCACACATTCGGGCCAGGGGGGGTAGGTCGGTCGGCGGGGGCAAGGTTTCCGCGGTGGGGATGGAGATGGTTTTCCGTGTTCGAAAGGGATAAAGAGGCTTTCGCTTTCCCGCGGCCCCCAGCCGAGGATAGATGTGCGGCTCCCGAGTTCGTAGTTGTTGTTTGGCTGCTTCCCGTCGTGATGCCTGCACGGACAGTGGAGGCCCGTGCCAAGAAACAGCCTACTTGCCTCCAGGGTGCCCTGGGTTTCGTGGGTTTCGATGATTTTGCGATGGGCAGCGTGACGTTCCCACACCAATCAATGGATGGCCTGGGGTCTCAGGGCTGGGTTTCTTGTGGAAGGGTTCTTGTGGTCAGGCCCCTACTGTAATTGTTGCTGTTTCGCCCTCCTCTTCCTCTGCGTCTCTTGCTTGGCTTCTCAGGGGCCCCTCGGAGGCGTCGGGGCGGCCTTGTGGGGGCCTTTTCGGGGCTCCAGTCTGTTTGGGGGGTTGGCCCTCTGGAGGCTTCCCGGGGGGCCCTCTTGGGACATGCTGGGGGTTGGGGGGCCGTCTTGTGGGGGAGTGCAGTGCCCCTGGGGGGCCTCTGCGACTTCCCCCGGGGGCTCTTCTGTGCCATTCCTTCTTCCTCCTCCTCCTCCTCCTCCTTCTCCTCCCCCTGCTTCTCCTCCTCCTCCTCCTCCTCCTCCTCCTCCTCCTCCTCCTCCCCCTTCTCCTCCTCCTCCTCCTCCTCCTCCTCCTCCCTCCTCCTCCTCCCTCTACTCCTCTTCTTTTCATCCTCCTCCTCCTCCTCCTCGTCCCTCCACCTCCTCCTCCTCCTCCACGCCTCCGCCCCGCCTCCTCCTCCTCTCCTCCTTCCTCCTCATCCTCCTCCTCCTCTCCTCCTCCCCCCCCTCCTCCTCCAATCTCCTCCTCCTCCCTCCTCCTCCTCTCCTCCTCCTCCGCCTCCGCCTCCCCTCCTCGTCCATCCTGCTGCTCCTCCTCCTCCTCCTCCTCCTCCTCCTCAACAATTTCACAATATGAAAATACTCTCCCACTTCCCCTGATGGCGTCCCGAAGATATCCGACCCCCCCCCGCGTAGTGTTTTTTTACACACAGGATTCCCGGGAAACGGGTTTTCGCTTTTTTTTTTTTTGTCAAAATGCTGCTCTCGCCGAGGCGCCGGCCTCATTTTCGGGCCCCGCTCGTTCCGAATCGTGCTCCCGCTGCAGCGCTGGCCTCATTTCTGCGCTTCCGCCCGTTTCGACTCGTGCTCCCGCTGCAGCGCTGGCGTCATTTCCCGTGCCATGCCACAGCACACGCGCACACACGCACACACACACCAACACACACACACACCAACACACACACAAACAAACACACAAACACACAAACACACACCAACACACACCAACACACACCAACACACACCAACACACACCAACACACACCAACACACACACCAACACACACCAACACACACCAACACACACCAACACACACCACACACCAACACACACACCAACACACACCAACACAC